TCATGGAAAGTTTTTATTTCATCATCAAATCTGAAGCTTACTTTTCCTAGGTATACGATTCTTAGTTGGCATACATTTTTTTTCAGATCTTGGTACATGTTGTTCCAGGATATCTTAGCTTTGATGGTCTGGATTGAGGAAATCTACTGAGATCTGAATTGGTTTTCCCTTATATGTAATCTGAAACTTTTCTTATGGCTTTAAAAATTCAAACCTTATTTTGTATGTATCGTGTTTTCATTTTAATATGCTTTGGTATAGATTGCTTATAATTTTGTCCATTTGGTGTCCTGTTAGCCTTTTGATTTTCCAATTCATTCTTTATGTTTGAGAAATTTTCTGATATTATGTCATTGTGTATTCCTTTGGTGTGTATCTCTGTACCTTTCTCTATCTTGATAATTCTTAGATTTTGTCTTTTCACATTGTCCCATAATTCTTGGAGTGTTCTGCTCATGGTTCTCACCATCTTCACTGTGTTGGTCAACTTTATTTTCAAGATTATATATTTTGTTTCATTGCCTGAGTTTCTGTCTTCCAAGTGATCTATTCTGTTTTGGGGGCTTTCTATTGATTTTTTTGTTTAGTTTATTATTTACTTCATTTTAAGGATTTAATTTTCTTTTTTTTTCAGAGTCTCCTTTTCTTGAAGTAATCTTTTGCTACCTATATTTCTTCTTTTATCTCTTTGTTGGAGTGGTCAATTGTTGCCTGTACTTGCTCTCTTAATTCATTCTTTGCTTCACAGATCATTTTAATTATCTACACTCTAAACTTCTTTTCTGACATTTCATGTACTATGAAATCAATGGAATCTCTTATTGTATCAGCTTAGTTTGTTTTGGGAACTTTCTTCCCTTGATTCTTCATATTGTCTGTGTATCTTTCTCTCCAGCAGTGTGGATTCGAGGGTTGCTCTGCTTCTACTGCATGGTAGGTTGGGGTTGCTGTTGTCTGCTGCTCCTCTCTCCAGGTGGTGGGCAGGCTGGGGTCACTGTCATCTGGTGCTTCTCCTGGAAGCTTTTTGAATGTGTTTCTTTTTTTTTTTTTTTTTTTTCTGAGGGTCTTGTGTCCAAAATGAATTTTGTTTTATAGGTACAGCAGTGAACCAGACAGGCTCAGTGAACCAGAACCTGCCCTCCTGGTTCTGACATTCTTCTGGAAGTGATAGACCCTGGCAGATACTCAAGAATATTTATGACAATAATGACAGGAGACATCCTAAGAGCACCAAATGGATATAGCTGTGTAGCTAGTTAGTGGTAGAGCATTTCCCTAGCATGCAGGAGGCCCTGGATACTATCATCAGCACAAGAAAAGAAAGAAAGAAGACACAAAGAGGAATACAAGAACTTCACATGTACTAGGGATCAGGGAAGGCTTCGCTGAGGGTGTGATGTTGAAGAAGATACATGAATGATAAGTAGGCCTTTTAGGTGGAGGTGTGAAGTAGCTGGAGAAGAGGGAACTGTATGTGCCAGAAGATTTATTGCTTTGTGGAGTGTGGTGAATTTATGGAACTGAAGAAGATAGAGCAGAGAGGAAAAGGAGAACTGCCACAGGCTGTAGAAGAAGTGAGGTATATACTCTTACCCTAAAAGCAAAGGGGACAGAATGGGTAAGACCTCGGGAATATGGAAGGAAGAGCGCAGAACTGAGATTGATGGATCCCTAGTTGTACCATCTTGAATAAGTACCTGTCTTTACCTTTACAAGTGTCAGAGTTTGGGTTTATTTTAAATGGGAGTGAAAATTACTCCTCTAGCAGGGTCAGCCATGTGAAAACACCAACCGTGTTCCCTTGAGCTATTCCAGGGCAGGGTTATGGCTTTTCTCTCTTCTCATTGTGCCATCAAGATAATGTTGGAGATAGGGTGACCTCAGCCTGATTTCCTCTGGCTAAGTCCAACCAGTTCTACCTTGGTTGCTTCCTTGCCAGATCATCTCCCTGACACCATTAATTTTGTTTTGTTTCCCAGAGTGAGCAGGAACTGGCTTCCCATTGCCACAATGACTGCCATAATGAAAGCAGCCAATTGATGCCAGTTGATAATGGAAACAAAGTAAGTAACTACTTTGTTTTCCTGCATCTGGCTGGGCCTGGGAGACCTCTTAATTAGAAAGGAGAATGAAGGGAGTTATCAGTGGTAGATGACACCTAGGGAGGAGGCAGGAAGATGAAACAGGTCCCACAGAGGAAACTGATTTTAATTCTGTGGACAGCGGCTATTGGGAGGCTGCAGAGCCATCTGCACAGCCACTCAGTGAAGTGTGTTTGGGGAAATGAACCCCCAGCCCAGAATGGGAGAGGTAGGGCAGTCCAAAAAAGCTGGAGGTATATGCTCTTTCCATGGGAACTCCATAGTTTGACTCTTAACACAGTCTTTCTTCATGAATCAGGGTTGTATTGTCACATAATATACAGGTCACCAATTAAATTTGAATTTCAGCCAAATAGTGAATATATTTTTTGTGTGTGTTGAAAAATATGATAACCCTACTCCAGAGCAAATTTGGCAATATCTGGAACATTCTGGTTTTCACAGCTGGTAATGCCCCTGGCATCCTGCAGCAAGAGATCAGTCACGGGGCTTAAAACATCCTGCACTGCCCAGGACTCTTCCCATCCCAACCACATTATCAACAGGGCTATCCAGCCCAGAATGACAATACTGTCCCTTTTCCAAAATGCTGGGGATCAGAAGTATTTGGATTTTCTTTTTTAGATTTTGGAATATTTGCATACACAAAATGAGATATCTTAGGAATAAGGCCCAGATCTCGACATGAAATTCATTTGTGCTTCATTTGCACCTTATTTCTATAGCTTGATGGTAACTTTATGCAGTATTCTTAGTCAACATGCATTTTGAAGTGAACTGTCACATGAGGTCAGGTGTTGAATTTTCCACCTGTGGCATTAAGTTGACATCAAAAGGTTTTAGATTTTGGATTTGTGGATTACTGATGCTTAACCTGCAATGGTAAAATTGGAAAGTCTGCTGTCATCTGATGCTAATGTACCCCATGCCCACTATGCCCCTTCTAGATAGTCTTGTGTGCACATCCTCTTCTTAAGTAACTGATTATCACTTCTTTTAAATTTTTTAATATGCATGTTTAGGGTTCAGAGGAAATGTGGGGGCTGTGTTTGCTTTGCTGTGTTGTCTGGAACAAATTTCCTGAGCTGCCTCAGCATCTCACCTATAAAGTAGCTTGGGCGATTAGTGAGGATGAACTCTGTGTTAACATTCACAGTGTCTAATTCCTACCTTCTCAAGGAAGCATTACATGGTGCTTGGCACCATTCCAAGAAGACCCCAAGCCAGGTCTCTTTAACTCCCCACCACAGCCCAATGAGGAGAACCATCATCTTGTATACTTGATATGTGAGGACCCAAAGGCACAGAGATATTAATCATCCTGATTTGAGGTCACCCAGCTAGTTCATGGAGCAGTTAGAATTGAAGCACTGCTTTTACAGGCTCTTGTGGTCCTGGCACATAGTGGGCAGCAGGAGAGAGCTTTGGACTTTGTATTGGTCACTGGGAACATGCCTTGGGGTCAGGTACATTCAGAGAAACAAATGAGGCAGAAAGGTACATTTATCCCAGTCTGTGTAGGACTGAAACCTGCCCACATCATATAACTTACCTGAACAATTAGAGATTGCATGGGCATGATAGGGTTTACTTAAAGCTGTGAGAAAATTCAAGGAATTTCAGAGATGAAGTAAGTAGATTATAGAGCTATGACATAAACAGTGGATTAATCCAGAGGAAGCTATAGCCAGACAGGGTGTGGATGGAGGGTATAGGTCTCTGGGGATGTACCTTTTGATCTTACATTTTATCCCTGGTTCATGAATCTCTCTCTCTCTCTCTCTCTCTCTCTCTCTCTCTGTCCTTCTGGTCGCTATGTGCTGAGCTGTTTTCCTCCTCCATGCCATTTCACCATAATGTTCTGCCTGACCTAGGGCCCAGAACAATGGAGTGGGCCATCTATGGACTGAGATCTCTAAAATCATGAGTAACAAACATTTCCTCTTCTAAAATTGTTCTTGTAAGAACTTTTGGTCATACTAACTGACTAAAAAACACCATCCAACAGAGAAAACCCCAGGAACACAATGATTCTCAGCTGAATTCTACAGATATCACTGAAATCCAGAGGATTATTAGGGACAGTTTTGAAAAACTGAATGTTAAAGAAGAATACATGCCAATGCTCCTCAAATTATTCCAAAAATAGAGTGAGAATGAACACTTCAATTCATTCTATGAGCCAGTATCACCATCAGACCAAAACCAGTATCACTATGGATCAATATCTCTGATGAACTTAGATGCAAAAATTCTTAGTAAAATATTAGCAAATTATATTCAATAATATATTAAGATGATTGTACATCATGACAAAGATGTATTGATCAAAGTGATGCAAAGATGGATTAACATTCATATATCAATACATGGAATACACCACATAAGTAGAGTTAAGGATACATAAGGATACATACTCATCTCAATAGATGCAGAGAAACCCTTCAACAAAATTTGGCACCCATTCATGATAAAGAAAATGAGGAAACTAGGTACAGAAGGAATTTACTTCAATATTATAAAGGCTATATACAACAAATCCAAAGCCAATATCATAGCGAATGGGAAAAAACTAAAAACATTTCAATGAAAATCTGGAACAAGAAGAGGATGTCTACACTCATCACTCCTATTCAATGTACTACTAGAAATTCTAGACAGAGCAAATAGGCAAGAGAAGAAAATCAAAGGTATTAAAAATAGGAAAAGAAGAAGTCAAATTATCAATGACTGCAAATGAAACAGTCCCATACTTAGAAGATCCAAAAACCTCCATCAGAAGACTGCTAGAACCAATAAACAAATTCAGCAAAGTAGCAGGTTACAAAATCAACATACAAAAATCAATAGCTTTCCTGTACAGCAATAATGAAACTCCTGAGAAAGAAATCAGAAAAAAAATTCCACTCATTAGAGCCTCATAAAGTAAAATACCTAGGAATAAATCAAACCAAGAAGGTAAGAGATCTCTATGATGTAAACTATAGAACAGTGAAGAAAGAAATTGAAGAAGAAACAAGAACATGGAGAGACATCCCATGTTTTCAGATAGGCAGAATAAATATTGCTAAAATGAACATAAAACCTAAAGCAAGTCACAGATTTAATGCAATCCCCACCAAAATACCAATGATATTTTTTCACAGAACTAGAGTGTGGGGAGCCACACTGAATGACCATGCCTTCCAGTCCTGATGCACCAGGCTCTGACCAGCCACTGCATTAGTTGTGGCTTGGGCGCCAGACCCACTTGGAGAGCAAGGAGGTCTTCTTTGTGGGTGTGCCCCTAAGGTTGAGTTACTCTCACCTGTTCCCTTATAATCCTACCCCTTCTGCCCTTTTATGGATAGAACTTTCTAAAAACAGTGACCCCCACCCACCCCCAAATAAAAAGCTGACTTCTGAACGTGTTCCCTCTTTCTCATCAGCCTCTCATGACTTTCTCTTGCTCTCTCTTTTGGGGAGCCTCAGGCCGAGAGCCAGGGAAGCGGACCTAAAGCTTGTGTAATGGTAAGTTGTGTCTGTTTTATTTTGTGTCCCTGCAAATTCATATGAATGATCTTAGTTGAGCTGCCCGCGCTGGCCAGGGGCAGCATTAGAGGAAACAATTCTAAAATGCAATCAAAATAATAAAAGACCCAGAATATACAAAGCAATTTTAAGTCTAAAAAGCAATGCTGGGCATTACAACACCTAACTTCAAATTATGCACAGCTGCTGCTTCCAGCCCAGACACACGGGGAAGGAGGGACAGGAAGCCAAGAGGGCATATCTGCATCCCCCCCCCCCCCATCTGCAGTCTTCTCCACTGAAGAACACTCTGCTGACTCCGGGAAGAGGACAGGGCGGGGAGGGGAGGGGGGCTGGAAACTCTCCATCACTGATTATAGATGGTCCCATGAAAGGCAGACCTCCAGGGATACTTGAATATCTAAGTGCAAACCAGAAGGGAGACCCGAGGACTCTGAGCTTCCTAAAAATTTGGCACCCAAAGAGCAAGGATCAGAGGGGAAAGAGGGAAGCAGGGTGCAGCAGAAAACCAGAATGCACCCTGAAAAGCGGCATTGAAGTTTTGTAGCAAAACGACCACGCCCAGCCCCGCACTGCTCTGCACTTCTCCAGAGCCAGCCAGGCGGGGTAGAGGCTCCCATGAAATTTGCCCGCCCACCTGGATTCGCCAAACCTTTCTGAAGACCCACAATGAGCGCACTCACCAGCTATGGTACCCAAAGATGCACAAATTGCGGCGCCAGCCAGGAGCAGCACAGCGGAGAGCTCCATGGAGTAACAGTTTGCCATTCCTCCGTTTCTTGTGAAGTGTAACTTTATTTGGGGGGGCGGGGTTTGATCTACAAGCACTCACCCAATGAGGACAGAGGCCAAAGGTCTAACTGTAACTCACGACCAATCAAGAGGGCGAGAGGTGGGGGGCGGGGCAGGGGGCGGGCGGGGCGGAGAAGGCGAGGCAAGCAGTGCGGAAGTGGCAGCTGAGGACTTCCTAAGTCGACTGAAGAGTGAGTCACTGCCTGGCCTCTCTGGCACAGCTGCCGCCTCCAGCCCAAACACGGGGAAGGAGGGACAGGAAGCCAAGAGTTCATATCTGCATTCTTTCCCCCTCTCCCCCCATCTGCAGTCTTCTCCACTGAAGAATCATGACGTGAGCAAATGCCACTTACCGACTTGGTCAAGGAAACTGCTCCTGCTGGGAGTAGTGCATGCTGTGTCTAGGTGCCCTCTGGAATGATGCTGTGTGATTGAGTTGACACGTGCAACCCTGGGACCTTCAGCCCACCTCCAGGAGCACCAGGAGGATCTGCAAGTTCCAAGGGTGCAAAGGTTGGGAATTAAGTGCTGTGAGAGGGTGCTGTGTGCTATGTGCTGGGTTATATCCGTGCATACCACCACTCTCTCCTTTCAGATGCCACTGGCCACAACCCTCTAGCTTTGAATACGCACACAGTACTGGTGGTAGAAGTATGTGTACAAGAATCCTTGAAAGATCTGGAGTTTCTAACACAAAACCTAGTGCTGTTTCCTTCTAGTGTTCTAGTGTCTGCAGAATCCACTTGCATGTGTCGACTTGTCGACTCCTAGGACGCTCTTTTTATAGTTGTGCGCCACTCTTCACTGTTTCTTGTGCCTATCTGCTTTATAAACAGAGGGGATGATCAAACACATCTCTAAAAACACATGGAAATCTCCTTAGAAAGCTTCCGCATTGGTTTTAGAAAGTAAAAGTGCCTGCTACATTTTACAGTTGAGACCCCTACACGCTAGAAACCCTCCACTCACAGGGAAGATGCTTTAGAGCAAGTCTCTTGTTCGCCCCCAGGCCCCGCCCAGAGTGCTCCACTGAGTTTGGGGTGCACCATGAGACTGCACTGAACATTATTCCAGAAACTGGCATCTTAGGGTGCCAACCTGGGAGTACTGGGAATGGTATGACTGCCAAGCTGACTCTACCTAGCATACAGGGAAGCAGCTTGTACTCTCTGGGCAGGTGTGTAGCGGAAGGCCAGTCCACACTGAAGGTGTCAGTGAGACTCAGACCTAGCCAGACAGAGCCAGGTTCTCCAGCCCAAGAAGGATCCCAAGAGAATTCACAGATTTGAACAGGGAAGGCTCAAAGTGCTGGGAATGGTGATGAGAAACAGACTTCAAACTACCATTGTTTTTCTTACTTTTTACTCCTTCATTGTTACCTTTATATCTGGATCGCTTGTTCTTATTAAGTATCATTTGTGGGAGGTTAAAATTCTAAAATGTTTTCTAAAATCTCTGAGATTCTGTTCACTCTAAAGAACTACAGGATTATTTGGTCAACTTTTTATATAATGTTTCAATAGAGATAAACTTAAATAATTCTGTCCTTCATATTAATAAAATCCTAATCTTTAAACTTGAAACTAAAATATAAATATTTTTATTATAGAAACTCTTGATTTTACAAAATTTCAAATTTCTCTAGTAAATATTTGAATTACAAGCAATTTTTTAGAAATGACTCTATATATCTTCATATTTCAGTGTACACTCAGAAATAATGCTGTTGGATAATTTGTATTACTCATTATCTGAACAATAATTATGGGATCATTTGTGATATTGTGAGTACAATAAAGTTCACAGCTTAAAAAAAAGAAAGACCAATAAGGAGCAGAGAGGGAGGAGCTACACTTAAAATGGAACTTCCCTCAAAACATAGGACCAAGGCTAAACTATTCCAAAGACACTGGGAAATATTCACTGGGTCACACCAGCCTCAATGTCCGAAAAGCACCTGTGATTTAGGATTCCCTGGGTAGGTTAGACATGCAAGTAAGGGCAGATAAGTGAATTATCTAGTCAAGCCTTGTTACTCTCCCAGAACACTGCCCTCAATCAAGTACAGCCTTGCTGGTAATGTCACCAATAACCAGATTATATGAGCTTTCTGTAGATTTCAACCACCTCTGCTCCGAGTTACTTCTTTTGCACTAAAATTGCTCAGGCTCAAAACTCCCTTAGATGTTTCAGCCATCCTAATCTGCTCCTTCTCCTGCCATTGACTCCAAGATCCAGCCAGGTCTCCTTTCCTCTGGCCACATCCTGCAACTGCCACAGCTCTCCCAGGGCCACTCAGGAGCCTCATTAGGCTGCTCCCCATGGACCATTCCAACACCAACCAGACTTCCTTGGGGCATCAGCAACTCTGGGCCCATTTAACCCCTAAATCAGAAAAGTCTATAAGCCCACTCTACACCTCTCCAACCACTACACACCCACCCCCTTTCCCTACCTCTCTTAATACCATTATCACCCTTGGTCTCTTCTAACTGACCCTTTCCCCTGCCTCTCTGGCTTTTCCACTCAGCTCCTGAAACCCTTTTACAGCTTCACAGTCACTACCTTGGTCCAGACTTTCAACTGCCTTTATCCCAGAATACTATAGCCACTGGGATTATTATTATAATACTATAGCCAAAGGCATTCCTGTATATCAGCAACAAAACTTCTGAAATGGAAATGAGGAAAACCACTCCATTCACAATATCCTCAAAGAAAATAAGATACTTGGGAATCAACCTAACAAAAGAGGTGAAAGATATATACAATGAAAACTACAGAACCCTAAAGAGAGAGATAGAAGAAGATCTTAGAAGATGGAAAAATGTACCCTGTTCATGGATAGGCAGAACTAACATCATCAAAATGGTGATATTGCCCAAAGTTCTCTACAGGTTTAATGCGATGCCAATCAAAATCCCAATGGCATTTCTTGTAGAAATAGATAAAGCAATCATGAAATTCATATGGAAAAACAAAAGACCCAGAATAGCAAAAGCAATTCTAAGGAGGAAGTGTGAATCTGGAGGTATAGCTATACCAGAGTTCAAACTGTACTACAAAGCAATAGTAACAAAAACAGCATGGTACTGGTACCAAAACAGGCAGGTGGACCAATGGTACAGAATAGAGGACACAGAAACCAATCCACAAAATTACAACTTTCCTATATTTGATAAAGGTGCTAAAAGCATGCAATGGAGGAAGGATAGCATCTTCAACAAATGGTGCTGGGAAAATTGGAAATCCATATGCAACAAAATGAAACTGAATCCCTTTCTCTCGCCATGCACAAAAGTTAACTCAAAATGCATCAAAGAGCTAGATATCAAATCAGAGACACTGCGTCTGGTAGAAGAAAAAGTTGGCTACGATCTACATACTGTGGGGTTGGGCTCTAAATTCCTTAATAGGACACCCATAGCCCAAGAGTTAATAACAAGAATCAACAAATGGGACTTACTCAAACTAAAAAGTTTTTTCTCAGCAAGAGAAACAATAAGAGAGGTAAATAGAGAGCCTACATCCTGGGAACAAATTTTTACCCCTCACACTTCAGATAGAGCCCTAATATCCAGAATATACAAAGAACTCAAAAAATTAAACAATAAGATAACAAATAACCCAATCAACGAATGGGCCAAGGACCTGAACAGACACTTCACAGAGGAGGACATACAATCAATCAACAAGTTCATGAAAAATGCTCACCATCTCTAGCAGTCAGAGAAATGCAAATCAAAACCACCCTAAGATACCATCTCACTCCAGTAAGATTGGCAGCCATTATGAAGTCAAACAACAATAAGTGCTGGCAAGGATATGGGGAAAAGGGTACACTTGTACATTGCTGGTGGGACTGCAAATTGGTGCGGCCAATATGGAAAGCAGTATGGAGGTTCCTGGGAAAGCTGGGAATGGAACCACCATTTGACCCAGCTATCGCCCTTCTCGGTCTATTCCCTGAGGACCTTAAAAGAGCATACTATAGGGATACTGCCACATCAATGATCATAGCAGCACAATTCACAATAGCTAGACTCTGGAATCAACCTAGATGCCCTTCAAAAGATGAATGGATAAAAAAAATGTGGCATTTATACATAATGGAGTATTACGCAGCACTAAAAAATGACAAAATCATGGAATTTGCAGGGAAATGGATGGCATTAGAGCAGATTATGCTAAGTGAACCTAGCCAATCCTTAAAAAACAAATGCCAAATGTCTTCTTTGATATAAGGAGAGCAACTAAGAACAGAGCAGGGAGAAAGAGCATGAGGAAAAGACTAACATTAAACAGAGACGAGTGGTGGGAGGGAAAGGGTGAGAGAAGGGAAACTGTATGGAAATGGAAGGAGACCCTCATTGTTACACAAAATTACATATAAGAGCTTGTGAGGGGAAAGGGGAAAAAAAACAAGGGAGAGAATTGAATAACAGCAGATGGGGTAGAGAGGGAAATGGGAGGGAAGGGGAGGGGGATAGTAGGGGATAGGAAAGGTAGCAGAATACAACAGTCACTAATATGGCATTATGTAAAAATGTGGATGTGTAACCGATGTGATTCTGCAACTTGTATTTGGGGTAAAAATGGGAGTTCATAACCCACTTGAATCAAATGTATGAAAGATGATATGTCATGAGCTTTGTAATGTTTTGAACAACCAATAAAAAAAAAAAAACTTGTCTCCATGGCAAGGGTGGTGAGGACAGAGCATCTTTTGGGGAATGCAAATCTGGTTTTTATGGTAGGGGTTACCAGAGACTGAAGTCAGGGGAAACTCACCACTAAGCAACATCCCCAACCATTTTTATATTTCATTCAAAGACAGGGTCTTCCTGAATTGCTTGGGGCCTTGCTACTTTGCTGAGGCTGTCTTTGTACTTACAATCTTCCTGCCAGAGCCTCCCCAGCCACTGGGGTTCAGGCATGTGTATCACTTTCCAGTGGCTTCTCCTGCCACATACAGGGCAAGAAGTCTTTGGAAGCCTGCCCTTAATTGGGCAGATTTTCTTCTAGTGCCCTCACTTTCTGTAATGATGACAGACACCTACAGAGGCTCAAGGATTCTGTGGGGAAGAAAAGAGGGTGGCCATGAAGAGCTGCAGTCGATAATTGTATTGGTCTCTTGTCCCTCTTTTCTCCTTCCTTAGGTCACTTCATGTTTCCTCCTGGTTTGATCATAAAAGACCTACATGGCTAACTTTAAGGGAAGTCCCAGGGCCTGCTACCAATTTTGTAATTTCTAAAATCTGGGGCAAATTGAAGAATAAATATATCTTTTAAAATAAGTTGCCTTTCAAGAGATTCAGGATCTAAGAATGTATATTTTACTAAGCCTTCCTTCAACATTTCTACAAAAGTTCTGGGATTTCACACCAACCCCTGATCAAGTGATGCCAATGTCATAGAATAGGTTTCATCCTATTATTTTTAAGTGCTGCCTTGAGACAAATGATCAGGTGATCTCTGTATCACCTTCAAAGTGATTCATCATAAGTGCAATGAGGATGCTCAGTTTGAACAGCAGAAGGGCCCACAAGGTATAAAGTGTTAGAAAAATATAAATCATCCTCCAAACCTTAGCAAACTGAGGTCTCTGTTAGAGTTTGACTCAAAATTATTTTTATATCTCTCCAGATTACCTCAAGGCCTGAGTTTGAATCCCTCTATATATATATATCAGGGTCATCAGCAAATCTTCCTAAATCCTGTTGGGCCTGTTTTAGACCTTGCATAGAAAAAGGTACCTGCATTCTTACCAGTCAATATTCTCCATTTTCCTCTTGTAATGTGTATAAACTGGTAGTAGGCTAAATAGGGACAGACTCATGATGAGGGAAATAGGGTTGCAGGAATGGGAGCAGGTAATGGTGGGTACAGAGGAGAGTGGGAGAATTTGATATTGACAGAAGAGTGTTAGGTACATTGTTGAGAGGAAGGAAGGTGTGGTTTGGGGGTCCCTAGGCCAGTAATGTTTTGACTCATTGAACTAGAAAGGCCTCATCAGTAGGATGGGCATGATATTGAAAAGTGGGGGAGGGGAGCAAGAGTTTTTGTGTCACTCTATTGGAAACATAGATAGTCCAAAAATAACAACAGGATTACTGACATAGAAAAGAGCAAGAATCATTGTATTCCTTGGCTTTCCTTTGGAATAATAAATGTGAGGGGACATGGGGTCCATGCAAAGGCACTATAGAATAAGGACCATAACTACCACTTTGGTAAAGAAAAGATACCAACTGAGAATATATTTCTTAGCTATGAGGGATCTTCAACTAGTGCCCCATGAGAAGATTTGTAAGTAGATAAAGGTGGTTAACTCATTGCCCTCCAGATTCTGGAAGTAACCTATAAAAATGGTGGTGTGATGCCCATTACTAAAGAGAGACAGGGGGACACCATAAGGCAACAGCCATAACAGTGGAGCCTCATTGCCTCTCTTATGGCCTTGCTCAAAAGAATGCCACAAAAAGCAAGAGAAAGTGTACATCTACATGTCAGCAGGAAAAAAATGTCACTGTTATTAAAAGGAAAAAAAAAGATGAACAGTGACAACATAAATGACATTAGACAAAGCATGGGTGTGACATATGGAAGAGGTTTCAGCAGAGGAAAGTGTAGACAGAGAAACTAAAGCAAACTGTAAGATATCAGAGGCTAAGTTAGACATAATCTCAACCAAAGCTGGGAGAGGAATAAGGTGAAGTTTAAATTCCTTCCTGTAGTTGGCTGTCAATCTGATTCAAGGCACTTGATTAGATGTCACTGGAGAGTGGGGAGTTGAAACTCCAAACCTCAGTTCTTGTGTTCCAAAGAAAGAAAATTTGAAGTCAGAAACCAAAGATAATGCAAGATAACTTTTTCTTAAAGTAAGGCTCAAACAAAGAGCATTCTCCAAACAGTGGTTCACTCCCAGCAGAGAACAATGAAGGAAAGAGTCCTGTCTCCAAATTCTTTGGTATTTTATGGTTGCCCTGAGAACTGGGTCCACATTCACCACTTTTTGACAATCAGGTGTTCAACTCCTTCATGTCAAGGGGTAGAGATTTTACTTAGTTGTTCTTCTCCATAACTGTCATATTGGCCATCATATTAAGTGGGGGGCTTCATTTACAAGTAAATACTATCTTACTGTGAGTATTGGGGTCAATGACCAGAAAGAACTTAACTTTTTTCTCCTGTAATGCTAAGAAAATGTCTCTTCTGAAATTTATTGAGACACTTATGACCATAAGTTCTAGCTTCACAATGACCCCAAATGACCCTGACAAGAGTTAGTAATAGCCCCATTAATCTTTCTTGGTGTATTTCTTAATTGACTCTCTTTGTTCTGATTATTTGTGTACCTGTTGTTTTTCTGCATTATCTGCCTACCCACTTGCCTTAAAAGTAATTTAAAGAAAGCCTTAAGTGCAACATAAAGAAAACCCATGACATTGGCTGTTATTTGTTTGCATTTCAGTGCTCACTACTAACTGCGATCTAACATCTCTCACCCACTGAGAGAACTGACAATGGTCTTCTTTGGTTTGGCAGGTAGAGGTCAGAGGAGGGTCCCTTTGCCTTGGAGCTGGCAGGCCGCATGGCAGATGAACAAAATCCCCCTGCCTTCCACAAAGACCATGAAGGAAAGCAGGTAAGAGGATGGGGGTCAGTCACAGAGCTACCTTTGTCAGGATGTCCCTCCTCACACTGTACAGCAACCAGGCTTCCTAAAACTTGGTGAAGTTCTTCACTGATCTTGCACAGCCCCGTGGGCAGATTGGACACAAGTCCTCACAGAGAAGAAATTCAAACAGAGCACAGCTGTCCAAGTGGCCCAAACATAAGCACTAATGGGGTTGGAATTCAGGTCCCACCACCCTCTTTCAGGGCTCATATCTATTGGGTGGCAAAGAGCCAGGCACACATGGGCACTGGCCTGGGCAGGCACCAAGAGATGTGGTTTCACCAGACTGAGGTTCTGATGGAGTTGGTGTCTGGTGCAAAACTTTAATTCAACTGTTAGCTCTAAAAACAGGAAAGCATATGTTCTAATCAATAAAAATGTTCCCTTTTTGACAATATTATGGTACAGAACTCTGTCTTTTTCAGATTTAAAAATGTAATAATAAAATATAATATTATTACAGCATAATATTTTAAACAACACAAAATGCAAGCATGGCTTTAGATTTCTCACAAAACATATTTTCCCCCAGATTAAATTTTTTTTTTTCAAATATATCATTTATATATCTTTATGGGGTATATTATGACAACTCAATAGACGTATACAAGTTTTATCATGCAACTTTGATATTACATCCAGGAAGTCCCTATAATGAAACCTGAATTTAGTTTCATTGTGATGAATTACTTTTCCTAGAATTCATACTGTGACAGAGTCTGAGAGACTGTCTCTTCAGGCCCTTCAAGAATCAGGACATTCTAGCATTTCAAGCAGTCCAGAGGGGCTAATACCAAACAAGCTCTGGACCCCAGATCTGGAAATTCTCTAAGATTTCAGTGGGTGGTTACACAGCACAATGTTTAATATAACTTAATTTTGTTCCACATTCATAGGTTGGACAGAGGTTTCACAATTTTTTACAAAAAAACAGAAATTTTCGCACATCAACAAACTTGATTGGAGACTTTTTTTTTTTTTAGGTTGTAGATGAGCACAATACCTTTATTTTTATGTGGTGCTGAGAATTGAACACCAGGCCTCACATGTGCTAGGCAAGTGCTCTATCACTGAGCCACAACCCCAGCCCTGCAGGCCTAACTCTTACAAGAAAGAGAAACCTGGCGTTTACAACAAAAAAGAGCTCAAAGCACAATGAGTGCTCTGGATATTTTGCTGACTTCTTAAAATTATCTCTTCTTGACTAGCAGAGAGACTTGTGTGTTACAATTAAGGTGGGAGTCTTTTGGGAACTACAGCATTACCCCCTTTGATGCTCATTATTTAATCCTCTAAGTCGAAGGGCATTATTATCTTCTTGGCTTAAAGCTTTATATAACGTAATATCATAGTTGTTGTTTCTCTTTTTTAAAAAAAAAAATGCTTCTATTGTAGAACCACTAGTTTTAAGGTAAAGAGGAAACAAACATGGAAGCAATAAACAAGTTCATAGCATAATCCATGCTATGTCAATTAAGCTTTTGAATCCACCAAGAAAAGGAAACCATCCTCCAAATAGTGAGCTTGGATCTCAACTGCAATGCCCTTTCAGGATTAAACTGGTACATGTGTTTTTTTTTCCTGATATTATTAACTATATGTTTCATTGTTATCAGTCCTAGAGTCAAGACGAAACAAAGGACTCTGTATATTAGAGAAGTAAAGGGTGGCAATGACAGTATAAGAGCTGTCTTAAAGACTGAAACAGTCCATTTTCCTTTTGGTTAGTATATCTTTCACCTTGTACATCCAACCCAGAGTGGCTAAAGCAGGGCTGATGTTTCCCCAAGCTTTGGGCACATTCAGGTTAGTCAGCTTCCAGAGTGACTTGAGCAGGGTTGGTGTCCTTCAGATCGTTGAGTTTCTCTGGTGTTTCCTTCTTCCTGATGCTCAGCTTAAGGGGTACAAATTAAGGAGGGAAAGCTGCAAAAGAATGTACACATCTGCCATGTCTCGCTCTGGCCATGAGCCCACTGGATGTCTGCTCACCCCATCACCTGATATAGCCTCTCTACTGAGGATCTAGGCTGTCTGCTAGGTTGGGGCGGTCTTGGGAGAGAACCTCACCATACCCAGCCACATCCTGCATGGACTGTGGGTGCAGAAAGCAGAGGTCCTAGGACATCGTCACCCCCAAAGTGCAATTCTGTGACTGGGGGTGGCAGAAGACCAAGACAGAGAACTCGTTGCCCTTAGACTCCCACTGCCACCTGTGCCCTCCACCCTTGTCCTACCCCAGGGATGCACTTGGAGGGTGAGGATTTTCTAGGCCCCCCCACCTCCCACCTCTGCACTCTGCTACCACAGCCAAGGGGAGATGTAGCTGGGGAGGGTGGGTGTCTTCTCCCAAGGCTGCCCAGCTGGCAGCAGGCCTACTCATCCCTCAGAGGCTGCAACTCAGGGAGGGGCAGGGTGAACTCAAGGATTAGGTGAGCAGCCTGGTGGACTCAAGGCCAATGCCAGGCATTGGTGGAATGGGCAGCATAAGGTACTCAGCAGGTGTCTGGGTACCACCAGCTCCTGCGCCCTGCTTCGTGAGCAGGCAGGCCCTACCAGGAGCAATACCAGTTGCCTGGAGGAGCCACTGCAGAGGCCATCACAGCCTCTAGTCGTCCTCTGACTCTGAGGCCTGCTGTCCCAAGCTTTCACCATCACCGCTAACAGAGCTCCACACTGCGGCCCCTGGAGTCCCCACAGGGCCACCAGTGATGCCGCAGCCACCATCACTGCACTGGGACCAGACTCCTGCCACTACCAGAGGATGAGAATGCTCCTCTCTGGATGCCTGGCTTGACGTTGCCACCTACAGACTCCTTGGTTGCCTTTGCCACCGCTGCCATAACTGAACTTCAGACACCAATACCTCCACAGATTCCAAACGCCAAGGCTTCACTGCCCAGGCTCCTGCCCACGGCTGTCCTCCAAGCCTGAGGCCAATTCTCCATCCTGCCACTGATACATCTGGGCTCCTCAAACTGCCTTAAGACACCTAGGCTCGCTGTTTGACATTCTCCCCACAGATGGATGCTGACACTGCTCCTGGTCACTGGGAACCTCCAATGGGAAACCCTGCTGTGGAACGCTGAGGTTGGCTTCTATATGCTTCAGTCCCAGAAACCAGACTTCTTTCACAGCCACTAGATGCCTTTGCAGGTGCCACCTATACCTCCAGGCTTGGGAAGGGTCCAGCACATGCCCTTCCATGCCTGCTGCCTGTTCATATCTGTCCGTGGAATAAACCATTGATTGGGTTAAAGCTCTCAGAACTGAATCATTTCACTGATAATCCTTGTATTGGCTCGCCCATGAGCTCCTGGGCACACCTACTACCTAAAGCACAACACATCTTCATCGAATAGCTTAGCAAGACCTTCTAGATGACTTGCAAGAGCTTCTACATCAGCACTTGTTTCTTTGCCTTGCACTTTTATTTTATGGAGAGGGGCCTCTTGCCAAAAACATAATGGACCAAACTCTGGCACCTTCAAACTTCTTCTGCAGCTTTCTCACTTCTCTTGTCAGTATAACAATCTAAAGTGATGGCCTTATCTGGATTTGGCTTCATCTTCATAGAACGTGGGTTGTTTCTTCTTTTCTTCAGAATATAAAAAGTTTTTCCAGATCAGCAATAAGGCTGTTCTTGCTTTCTAGTCATATACATATGCCCTGGAGCAGCACTTTAATTTCCTTCTTGAACATTTCCTTTGCATTCTCAGTGTGACCAAGTAGTGTAAGAGTCACAGCTTTTTATTTGAAGTGCAAAACGTAAGACTCTTCTTTTTATTTAAACAATACAGACCATTACTGAGTCATTAACGGTTCTAACTTCAATATTGTGTCTTGAAGAATAAGAGGATGGTGAGCCATGATCTGTGAAGCAATAAGAATGTACATATTAAGGTTTTTATCTTATATGAGTGGGATTTGTAGTGCCACATGACAGTTAAAATAGATCATAGTATGAGTTATAATGGCCTAAAATCTTCAACACTCATTAGGCAGTCCCTTCTGCTCCATAACAGGGGCATCTATCTCACCTCATCCTTCGTGGTCTGTTTGCATCCTCTCTCACAGCACCTATGAGCTCTACATGGGCTCCGTCAGCAGATACGCAGTACTGGTGGTGGCACAGCCTGGTGAATGGATTAAGCACTTTTAGGTCAACATAAAAGAATGTCACTAAAAATACTTAGAATGCCATAAGAATTAGCATCACAAAAAATAAAATAGATAATCTCAGAGGGGAGGGGAAGGATAGCTGTGCTGGGGGTTCTGGCACTGGGTAATGCTCAGGAGCTCACATGTGGGAGATGCCATTGAAAAGTTTAGAACTAGGGAAGTGAGGATACATTCTAGGAGATGTGGAGGGCTGTGGCCTAATAGTTTCTTGACCTCCTGCCTCTATTGTTTTGGACCCTGAATTTATATTGCTGCCAGGAAAGGTGGCTCTCTTTCAAAGGATGGGATGGCAGCTTGGAGCACCATATGTACTATCTATCTATCTATCTATCTATCTATCTATCTATCTATCTATATATATATATATATATATATATATATATATATATACCAAGTGGAAGATAATAATGTTCAATATCCACTGACTTTCTTATTGGCAGCTAAGCTTCCTCCTCTTCTTGAAGGTTCAGTGGCCACTGGTGGCTCCATATCTTCCTGTGTGGTCAATGCTGGTGTAGGACCAACATATTTGGTGACACTCTAAAAAGAGTAAGGGATTGTAGATAGTGCTGTATGTGGGGGTGTGACAAGAGGTGGGGGATATCCCAGGAGGCTTGAACTATGTAGATTTAACTCAAGTAACTTTAAACAAATTTGAAAACAGCCTATAATTTCACAAGCCTGACCCAACATTGGCTTATGATCTTCCATATATTATTACTTCATCTAAAAAATGAAGTAAATTCAACCGCCTGCTCACAGGTCAGTTGCCTTCCAAAGGTGCACCTCTAAGTGGGTTGACTTTAATCTCAGAATATATTTCTGCATGGAAATCATGTCAAATGCCTTCCTGGCTCCCAAAGTTTAGGTACTGCTCAACAGCTTAATTTTACCCCTGGCTTATCCTCCTCACCAACTTTACTTTACCAGATGCAAACCCAAGGTTGTACCTAGTTCTGCACCCTGCTCAAGGTCACCCAGTTAAGAGGGATCTAAATCCAGCTCTACCCAATCTGAAGTCTTCACTCCTCCTCACACTACCCCTTAGCCAGACAAACTTGCTTACTTCTTTTTTTCCTTTCTTGATAATCTCTTGGAAGAAGCCAGTGTTAGGCTAAATTTGGTAGATCCAGGAGGGTATTTTCCCAATAGGCTATTTTTCCTACAAGTCCAGGTATGGCCATTCTGGCTGTCCCCAGCCTGCTGCAATGTACTGGGGCCTCACACCACTGCCCAGAGACCCTGTGCCCAGATGACCCTATGTCCAGGACACAGAGTCTCCTCAGGGAAGAGTGGAGGAGTAGGGGAAGGAGACACCATGGAAAGTTCAAGAGAAAGGACCAGAAGGTTCTTCCAGAAGGTTCTTCCAGGGCTAGACTCCCAGAGCAGCCAGAGATCCCTCTCTATCTTGTCCTACAAGATCAGGTCTAGACCTGGCCAGCAGCTCCCAGGCTCTAACCCCACCCTCTCACCAGTGAGCTGGACCCACCTAGCCCCACCCACTGCCTGCTGTGAGGACTGCAGCCTTTATTTAAAGTGCTCACTTGTTTATTTGGATGAGTTCCCTGAGTTAGAGCCACAACTCCTCAAGGGTCCTGAGGACTGGTAGCTGGTCCTGGGGTGACAAAAGGCAGGCAGCATGCAGAGGAACTTGGTGAGGTGACTGTAATGGAGAATGATCAGTTTCCCAGCTCTTATACATCTTGAGCAGAGAAGCATCCTTGGGATCATTTCACTGCAATGGCACCATCATGAAATGGTGGCATATGGTGGCAAGAGCAGCATCCAGCTGTTTTGGGCATAGGGCATCAGGCCTCAAAAGTCAGGAGTTGAGTATTGGCATGGGGTGTGGGTGACTGTGGTGGTGTCAGCATGCAGCTGTGATTTGGGAGTTCCTTGCTTCCTACTCATGGTGGCGCTGACAGTGGAAGAATCCAGAAACAGTGGTTGTAACAACAGATGCATCCAGCCATGAGTGTTTTCATCTGCCATAGTGACAAGGGTCTGGCTGCAGTTGCAATGAAGTTGGCCCCAGTACTGAGTGTCACTGTCTAGTATCCATGTTAAAGTCTGGTGGCAGCAGGGTGTAGCTCCAGAGTCTGGCAGGGGCGGGAGCGACATGCAGCTGCATCAGGGGTCCAGCCTCAGTATAGGGGTTGGGCACCAGGTGTGGGGTGGGCAGTGTTGGAGTCCATCTGGAGTTTGGAAGTTTGAGTGCTGCACAATGGTGGTGGCACCATAAGAGTTCAGAAGCAGGGGCAGCAACAACAGGCAGTGTCCAGCAGTGAGAATCTTCATCCTGCAGAAGGAACTGGGGTCCGGCTGCAGGGCAGTGAAGGTGGCATCCAGTAGCCATGTGGGGAGTCTGGTTGGCCGCAGCGAAGAGCTCCAGGCTGGCATGTCAGCAAGGGCATGGGATAGTGGGTGTCAGAGTGAGAAGGTAACCGGTAGCTGGGATGTCCTCTGTGGTGGAGGCTCCAGGCCCTGGTCTTGCTCCTGGTCGACTGGCCTGCTCAGGAAGAAGCACGTGGGAGGCAGTGGTACCCAGGCAGCTGCCCGGGACCTTATGCTGCCCACATCTGCCATGTCTCGCTCTGGCCATGAGCCCACTGGATGTCTGC